TGTCAGTGGGTGCCCGGGGAGGCCCAGGGCTTGCACGGGAAGGAAGGAGTCAGCAGCAGCTTGGGTGAAGAGCCCTCTGGGTTCTTGGGCCTCTCACCAGGCATAGGCACTTGGTGTGACTTTTGTTTTAGGTTCTGAAACATGTATCGCAGTATCCGAAGTTCTGGCTTCTCGGCTCGAGCTGTAACCCCTGTGTGCATCCCCAGCCATTGTCTCTGTGAGGCTTGTCAAGCACAAACATTCCTGTGGAAAACCCAGAAAGTTCTCATGAAAATGAAGCCTTCTGCAAGAGCATGGGGCTGGCTGCAGCTGGAACGACAGTGAGCGAGTACACAGTACTGAAGTGTGGACACACCCGGAGTCGCACCAGTGTAAACAGCAGAGGGCTTGTCCTTACAGTGGAATTCCACTCAGTGCAGAAGAGAGAGAAAAGGCCAGTGATTTGTGACACAAAATTGAGTGTGGATATTGAAGTCAGTGGGCAAAGCTTGGAGGAAGCAGGATTGCTGTGGCCTCGGGATATCTGTGTTTTGGGTTGTGCTGGGTTAAGTACCTCTCACTTGGTGTCTTCATGCAAACAAACACCTTCGTCTACACTGAGCCGATGGAAACCTGAGGTGGTCTCCTAGGCTGTACTGTGAAGCATCAGCACCCCTGCACCGCCCTGGAGGCTTGAAGAAAGAACTCGTTTCTTTTTGGCTTTCTCTTGGTTCCAAGTTTTGGTCCATCTTCAAAGTCAGTAACAATACTAATCTATGCTTCTGCCGCCCTCTTCTCTTTTTAAGGAGCCTTGCAATTTCATCAAGCCTGTCAGTGTAATTCAGGATTATCTAGTTAGCAAACTGGTAGAGGATGGTGCTTTTTGACCTATGACAGAACTACCCCCAGGGATACCCGCTAAGCTGCAGTCCTCATAGAAGCAGGTGGCCAGAACTTTTCTCGTCAGAGCTACTGCACTTTGGGCCAGTAACCTACCATATTGACATGAGGACACTTTGGGGGTGTTCTGCCTTCCATAATATTACAAAGTGGAATGGCAGTTGTCCTGTGGTAAGACATCACATCAGGAATAGGACATTGGCATCAGGAATCTGTTGAAACATTAGGAAGGGGAAGGGAATTTGACAAGTGGTTAAACACCCTTCAAAAATTGTTAGCAGCCAGAGCTTGAGGATCTATCACCACTGCTGTTAGTCAACTCAGTGACCCTATAGGACCGAACCGCCCCATAGAATTTCTGAAGCTTGTAAATCCTTATGAAAGGAAACAGTGTCATCTCTCCTAGGGAGCTACTGGTAGATTTGAACTGACAGTGTTTCAGGTTGATTGCCCAGTGCTTGGCCTGCAGTACCACCCTGGCTCCACATAGTTCTAAACTTAACATTAAAATGCTATTTGTGAGGGGAGCTCTGATGGCCTAGTGGCAAGAAGCTGCACTGCAATCCCAGAGGTGCACGGTTCGAATCCACCAGATACTCTGCCGGGGAAGGAGGGACAATCTCCTCCTGTACCAGTCAGATCCAATTTGACGGTACACATACACAAAAACAATAAAATAAACATTTTTAAAAATTAAAACAAAAAATGCTATTTGTGGTGCAACAATGAATGAATGGAAACCCAAAATCTCTAAATGTTCATTAAAATTAACAATTTAATTTAAAAAATGCTATTTGTGAAGACAAAGGGAATACTTCCACACAGGCCTTGCTCAGAGGTCAGTAGCTGTCCTGCTTTGATGCTGATGGAAGCCAGATAGAAGGATGTGCTTTTTGGATAGCTTGCAGTGAAACAGTGAACATGTGTTAACATTTGTAACCAGGAAAAAAAGGTTATTATAAAATATGCTTGTCCTGTGCCTCACAGGGACATGATCTTTAAGACAGAGACTTGAGCTCTGGTGGCCTAGTGGGTGAGGAATTAGAGTGCCAACCCAAAAGCAGGTGGTTCCAATCCACTAGCTTCTCCATGGGATAATGAGCCTCTGGAAAGCCCATTGGAGGGTCAGCTATGAGTCAGTTCCATCTCTCCACAGTAGTGGAGTTTCTTTAAATGTCTCCAAACCATCCTAACAAGATTTACGCTTCTCAGTTCTTGGAACACCTCAGCACTGTCAGCATTTTACACACCTTTCAACTCCCAAATGTGCATCTAATGTACACAGTATTTGGTACAATTTTCTCCATATAGAAACTTCAATAACTGTCTTGCATCAAAAAAAATAAATCCATGAAGTCTTTACCCTTCTCCCCTCTAAAGGTGGAGTCTCCCTGCTTCCCATACCTTGAGTGCAGGCTCGATAAAAAGTAGAATGTAGTTTGAGTGTGATAGTGTGAGTGTGACTGACAAGCTTGTCAGCAGGCTTCCTTGATGCTCTTTGTTGAATTGCTCCCTGGTGTAGGGAAACAGGAGTCCATTCAAGGTCACAAGTGTGGCACTGGTGCCTCCTTCCTCCTAGCAGCCACCATGTGAGCAGCATAGAGGTGTGTCCTCCAGCGCAGCCTAGTGATGTCCTGAAGGTAGCCTGAGACCCTAAACTAGAACCACCAACTGCTGAATTCCTAGAAGAATGGTTTAAACCACTAAGTTAAGAGAGTGGAGGCCTGGTGGCAGCAAGTTGTGCTGCTAACAAAGGCTGCACCTCTGCAGGTTTGAATCTGCCACCACCTTTGAGGAAGATAGGGAAGCACTCTCTTCCCATTGTAATTTACAGCTTCAGAACCCCAAGGAAGGGCCACTGTGAGTGGGAACCTAAATGACAGCCCAGAGATGATTTGGGGCAGCTGGGACCACAATGTTGATGTCACTGCCCACACGACATAGGCTTCAATAGGACCCCACACCCCTCCCACCTGGCAGGACTGTTCTAGGTGGGACATTTCCTGCCCCTGTCACATTGTGCAGCCCTGCAGGTTTCGGGGATCTCCACCTGCTGTTGTGATCTCTGGGTTCTGCCTTGGACAGGGAAGTGTCCTTCCTACAGAAATGTGTCTGGAGCCACCCGGGACAGAGCAAAAACAGAAGACTGAGCTGTCTCTCACTCCTCTCCAGGAGTAGGCACCTTCCTGGACCTGGACATGAAGTTCGTGTAGCCCCAAATGTCTTATGTGTGGATGCCACTACTAGACATGACTTCCTTGACAGTGTTTTGGGGGTGGGAGGTCTGCAGACCTCCCACCACTCCAGCATTATCCTGTGGCCATGAGCATCAGCCACCCACAAGGCTGCAATGTGAGCCCTGCCACATCACAGTCTGGGACTTGAGGGAACACATGCAAACTGCTGCCCTCAGCAGGACCTGGCCAGACACCCAGCTTGACCCAAGAGAGAGAGCAGGGGTGCCCAGGCTGCAGCTCTGCCCCCTCTCCCCCCCCCACCACCATGGCTATGGGCTCACCTCCCTGCAGTCTCCCTTTGGGCTCCAGAAAGGAGAGTGGGTTCGCTTTGTTCTCACACTTTTCTTAAAACCTCCATTGTTATGAAGCAATCCATAGTCACGGTTATAAAACCCTGATTTGTCACAGCTCTAGATTGGTGTGAGAGGCCATGGAGGACAGTAGCAGGTCTTAGAGACAGGACTCTGGGACAGTCTCCACTCCTGCACACTGTGGTTTCCTGTTTGACTTTCACTTCAGGGGTGAGGGGTGCATGGGAAACCTCCACACCCTCGCATGTCCCACTTCTTTCTCATCCTACAAAAGTCACATGGTGACTCCTCAGGCTCCCCTCTCAGCTGTTATCCCTTCAAGGGCTTGGGAGACTGCCCTCCAGTACCAGTCGCACTGCAGAGCATCAGGACCTGCCCTGCCCCTAACTGGCCTCAGAAGTCCAGGGCCTCACCTCCTAGTGGGTGGAAGCCAGGGGTCTGGGGCTACACTTCACAGGGCTCTAGGGCCCTGGCTCATGTCTTGTCATCCTCATCTATTATACCCAGAAGCTGTCAGGAAGGGACATCCTCAGAGGCCTGCACTGCAGGGCCGAGATGGGAGGACACAGTCCCAAGATTCTTGGCACCAGAAGCCAGGTATCTAGCCTCCAAGCCCCACTGGAGCCACATGCAGTGGGGATACCTGAGGACAGGCACTGTGTTCAGGGGTGATTCAGAAGTTCCATCCCTTCCTTCCAGAGCCTGAGCGCACAGCTCATCCTGGGGATTCTGGGCTCTCTAGGAGAACTTACGGCTGTTCTCACACCCACACAGGATCACAGCTGGCCATATGGGGAAAGGGGCAGCAGAGGTAACACAGAAAGAACCGTCTACAGATCAGTAGTCTTTGGAAGGTACCAAGAGCCCAGGAGAGGTGCTCTTTGGAGGTGCTGCACTACTGTTGAGTGTGGCCCTGGGCATATCACTGCTCTCCACTGTCCTCAGGGCCCAGACCTGCACTGAGCCCCTGTCAAGGAATACCCATTTCCCAGCACACAGTAGGGCACTTCCATCTCACATTATCCTGTTCTTTGACCATAGGCCTCAGCGTGCCCATTCAGGGTCACATGGCCTGAGAGCTCCTAGGACTCTGATCCACTCCTAGCCATAGAATGACCACATTAAAGAGGGTTCCACCCCTCCTCCCTCCGTTTCCACAGGGAACTCTGTTGCTGCCCTGGACCAACAGAGAGACGGTGTTCCCTTGTCTGTCCCAAGCTGACTCCATAACAGCATAAGGATGTACACGCCTGTACCACTGCTGGTTGGATTTATTAAGGTCAAATCCACATCCACCAAGAGGCCACCAAAAAGGGACCCAGCAGTTGCCTGGCCTGGCACCCCAACTGAAGGACCAAGTTCTCCACCCTGGGGTTCCTCCAGGGTGAGCCTGTGGTCTGTGAACAAAGACTGGACAGCTAAGATTGCGGGAGAGAAGCATGGAGCTGGGAGCAGGGGACAGGAAGGAGCAAGGACAAAAGTTACATCTAGACAATGTGAAACAGAACAAAACCAGAACTCGACTGTGTTCTTGTCTTGGCTCAGGACCCAGGTGCTGGGAGTGGACAGAGCTCTAGCCGGACATCTCCTCACGCTGCTCCTTGTTCCTGCGCACCTCAGCAGCATGCAGCTCCTGCAGAGAAATGGTGGGCAATGGGCAGCCCTGTTTTCTGATGTGGACTATAGAGCCCTGAGTCCTCCCAACCTCAGGCTGCTAGGTCTCAGCTGTAGGGACGTGATGTAGGAGGACAACTTATTGACTGAGATGCAGCAGGAGGCCTGATTCACAGGCCCAAAAGAGTGTCCACACCTAAGGAGGAGGTGTCCTAAGGATGGAGTGACCCTTAGAAGCCAATGGGGTTAAGAAAATGTTACTGAAACACCCTCTGGGATATAGGCTCCAGACCTCCCTGTGCACCCTTTCCGTGAGAGGCAGCTGATCTCTCAGAGGAGGCAGGGCCCTGAGTGGAAAGCTGGCCTAGCATCTTGTTCCTTTCCTGGGCTGGTGCATTTCCGAGTTCAGAGGACTGGGTGGGCTCAAAGCAAGGGACTCCTATGGACTTTCTGGTCCCCCAAACAGCTCCTCCCCTTCGTCGTGCCTCCAAGAGTTTGAGTTCATTACCACCTTAGATAGTACTGTGTCCATTAACTCACCACCACCACCTGAGGGACCAAGGGTTGGGCAACACTTGGTCATGCTGGGCAAAGCAGAGCTACATATCCAGGCCCCGCCTCTACTATAGTTCCACTCAGGCCAGAGGTCCACTTCCAGCTCAGTACCCACACACGCCTTCTTCCTTAAGCTGCTGGTCACCCCCTCAGCACTGCTCACACCAGTGCCTCTAACACACCCAGCCCCAAACTTCATGCTGTAGTTACCAGTTCGGCCCTCTGTACCAGCAGGTCCTGAGCTCCACCCTCTAAGCTCCACTGAAACCCAAGACCCGCATGACTCTTTATACCTCAAGCCTCCCCCACCCCACCCTGAG